GGTGCTTTTGTCTGCGGGCCAGACAGGAGGGCCGTCGCTGGCCATGGTGCCAGCCAGAGCCCTGTCGATGCGGCCTCCCAGGGGCCCTGAATCTGAGGCACCTGGAAGGGTTATTAGCAGGATTGGAACTCATCCCTCTGCTGGGACTAGATCATAATTACAGTAATTTTCTAACAGAGCTCAGCAGTAGGACTGTTTAATCAGCATCTGACTCCCTCGTGCGCCCAGCCCTCATCACTCAAGGAGAGGAGTGGGATGGCTCTTAAAGAGACAGCGCTCGCCTTTCCGCATTTGGAGCAGATGTGCCCTAATTGGTTGACTATATCCAAGTCTCATATGGGCAGGATGCACTGTCTCCAACAAACCGCCTCGGGCTCTGGCCATCCTGGGCCTTCTGCCAGAGGGGCTTGGGTGGGGATGTTGGGAGGCCTGGCTTCCCACACCAACATGGCCACCAGGGAAGGGATATTCACGGGGCTAGAAGACTCGTGGAAGAACCTAAACTGCCTCCCTCCGCCCTAGGCGGTTTGACTCAGTGGATAAGAGTGTTGGTGCACAGACTGGAGGGTCCTGGGTTCAATTCTAGTCAAGAACAACGTACCTCGGTTGCAGGCTCAATCCCCAGCCCTAGTCAGGGCTCATGTGGGAGGCAACCAATCGATGTCTTTCTCTCTCATCGATGTTTCTGTGTGTCTCTCCCCCTCTCCTCCCCTCGCTCTAAAAATCAATGGGAAAATATACTCAGGTGAGGATTAACAAAAAAAAATTTAGAAACAGCCGAAACCAGTTTGGCTCAGTGGATAGAGCATCGGCCTGCGGACTGAAAGGTCTCGAGTTCGATTCCGGTCAAGAGCATGTACCTTGGTTGCAGGCACATACCCGGTAGAGGGTGTGCAAGAGGCAGCTGATAGATGTCTCTCTCTCATCGATGTTTCTAACTCTCTATCCCTCTCTCTTCCTCTCTGTAAAAAATCAAAACATGTTTAAAAAAAACTTTTTAGAAACAAAAACTGCCCCTTTCAAACAGATGGTATGAAGGAAAAAGTGGCTGAAAGGACAAGGAGGAGGGACTTGACAGCCACAGACAGTGATTGTGGCTGGTGGCTTCCCATCACCCGAAGATTTCAGAAGCACCTCATGTCCCTGCCCTTTCAGGGGGGAAATCCTTAGACTTGCAGGTGCCCTTTGCTCACTCTGGCTTTACCACCTCTCCTTCCTATTCAGGCCTCCCTTTCCCTACCATGAAGCACCTTGTTTTTTCCCTCCTTTGCTTGTGGAAGCGGGCCATGTAAAATTATCCACTCTGTTCACTGAGTCAGGAGCACTGTCTCCTAAAGAGTGTGGCTCTTGGTATTCCTTTGAGTATAAATTGTCCATACTTACTGTATCTTGAGAGTTGAGGTTCCAGCACTCCGGCTCCGAAGCCAGCCATGACTAAGGCGGAACTGATTTTACCCAAGTTATTTCTCTAATAAGATGTCAAGGCTGGCTCCTGCTGCCCTGTGGGAAGCCAGAGGTGTGCGCACTTGGGCTTTGCAGCAATTCCTGAAACAGCTCCATAGAAGAGCTGAAGCAGGGAGTAGGAGAGAGAAGAAGTGGGCGGGGGGCTTCCAAATCAGTGAAAGCAGTGGTGGGCAAACTGCGGCTCGTTGATTGAGTTTGCTGACCACTGGGTTAAGGAGACCCTCAGGAAGGAAGGTACAGTGGTAAGAACAGGATCAGGGACACTCATCTCCAGTTCAAAGGGTTACCTTGAGCTGGGCAACGTGCCCTGTACACAGCCAAGTCCCTGCTGGCAGAGGGCCACTGGGAGGGGTGGCGTAGGATCAGTGCCCCAGCTCGACTGAGGAAGTCACCGTCTCACACTACCGTGATTATCTGCGTGGCTTTAGCCGAGTCTCAGCTGGCTGCTCACACATCAATCCGCAGATGCCACTCCAGCCGACGGAATGCTCCTGCGGCCTCCAAGAGGCAGGCCGGGAGCTGGTGTTTCCATTTCTGCCTCCAATCCCACCTTGCATCCTCCGGGCCCACTGTCCTCCTCACCGGTAGATGTTAAGGATATTCAGAAAGAGCTAAGGCACACAAACACATTCACAAATAATGTCAAAAAATCACAATCACCTCCCAAGCAAAGCCTACCAGACAGGGTACGAGCTGCTTAGGACGTGGTGGTGTGGATGGAAGGCCTTAGCAGTCAGAAAACAGAACCGTGAAGAGCTCTGATTTCTAAGATTAACTGAAAAGAGAAGTGTGGTTTTTTCTTTTACTAGAGGTGGTTTAAGGTTTTTTTAAAAAAAAAAAAAAAATCTGGGGGGAGGGGAGACACTTTGTCTTACAGAGCTTGGAAAAAGACCTCTCACATGAATATATTCTACCATCATCTAAAAACATTTTTTAAAAAACCATGCTCAGCTCAACTCAAAAGTTTCCTCAGCTAGAAAATGAGTACAATATTGCTCTGCCCTCCTCATTGGGCACCAAGGTCAAAAATAAATCATACAAGAAAATTCCCCTCCCTCTCCACCCTCCTACACACGCTTCCTTCCACCAAACAAAACCAAACCCAAGAACTTGGGATCACTCATCCTGAGTAACAGAGGATTGGGCTTGGGCTATGGAAGTAGCTTTGGAGAAAGGTGACATAGAACCTACCTCAATCCTGAATTCTAACAAAAAAATAATTTCTTTCTACAAAGCAGCTCAGTAGGCCAGAGGTCACCAGCCCCGAGTACACACAGGGACAGAATACACCTTGATAAAGGCAAATGGCATTGCCTGGATGAAGAAGGAAATCCATTTTTGCTGTTTTTCTGCTAACTCCAGGCCTGTATGATTAGAAAAATGTTTCCGTTCTTAGCACATCTCCTTCCATGGCCTGCACTCAACTCTGCACCAGACAGTGAGGGGATGGTGCATGGCCTTAGATTAACTGAGGTGCCGTTATATACACTGCTGTTAATGGATCGTTAAAAAAGCCAGGAGTCAGAAAAATTGCGTTCGTGTCTTTGAACGGCTCCTGCTGTCCCAGCAGCCTACCCTGCTGGCAGCACTGGCTGCTGAGCACCAGCTCCAGACGGAAAGGGGCGAACAGAAGAAGGCTAACCCAGCTCGCTGCGTTTTGGCTGAGTAGGGAATTGACACAGACCACCTCCGGCTCCTGTCTGGAAGTTTTGAGATCAGAGAGCTTCAGGCACAGCTGGGTTCACAGCTGCACCATTTGGAGCATTGGACTCATTAATATTCATGAGTCATCCCCACCAATCAGCAGAACGGATGCCATTAGCTTAGCATCTGTCGGGTTTTTGTGAGGGTTGTGTATGGAGGTTTTTTTACCCCCCTTTTTAAATGAACTTCTTTTGACATTTTGGATTTGTCTCTGTAGGTTTTCTATACTCGCCTTGCTCTGCTGCATCACATAAAGGAGAGACTCAGGGGAGGTGGGCAGGAAAGAGGGATGAGTCCCAGCCAGGGCTTTGCATCTGCCTGTTGACAAACTTTATTTCTCTTTCAGCACCTGGCACCGCAGACAGGCTTTGAGGATGGAAGTAGCATCAGGTAAATTATACCTAACAAGGTTCATGCCCAGACCTGTGAGAAGAGCTGGATCCTGGCTCTTTGGAAGACAGTCCCTCCTCCAGTGGTGAACCTGAGCTGCACTCACAATGCAGGCGCTGCAGTGCACAGCTCTGAACCATTATTTCCACGCTGATAGATTCATGATTTATGAAAGTAACTCGTGCCAGTCTTCGTTCCCTCCTCTGCTACAGCTTGTTAGACACAAATTGCAACAACAGTCTTCAATAGTTGCGTTTTATTTCAGGCCAAAGCCCCTCAACTCTGAACTAAATGCCATGACAGTCCCACAGCACAGGCTGGGAAGAGAGCGCACAGCGGGATGGCCAGGAGGGAGGAGTGGGCGAGAGAAGAACCACACGCAAACCCAAGTGCAGTGCAGAGCAATGCCGGATGCCGGCGGCACGCATCCCCCCCAGTGCTGGCTCCCAGCGGAGAGGAATTATGGCAGCAGGAGGGCAGAATGCCTCATTGTCTGAAGGAAGGCGCGCTGTTCCTCATCTCCATCCCTAGAGCCCTCTCTCCAGAAAGAAACAAAGCCCTTGCGCCCCATTGGACTGAACATATGGCCTCCCTGCCACTCAGCAGAGGGACGCTGCAGTGGCTGAGGCCCTGGGGACGGGAAGCTGTTACTAAGGGGGGGAGGGTTTGGAAGAGAAAGGAGCTCATTCTCCCCCTGCAGAAAGATGCTCACGTCTCTGCATTATAACCAGCAGAGGCAGCGGCAGCCGGGACAGCCTTTTCCAAAACAAAGCTCGCTGAGCTGTTTGCCCTTCCCCGGCTGCAAACAACCACCTCCCTTTTGTGGCGGCCATGACCTATTCTGTGGCTCTCAGGCCCCACACCGCCAGGCTGAGGTCTTGGGATACACAGGAAAGCCTAGCGACAGGAGTCACAGCACCATTCCATCCAGTGGTATTAGTGGAGGGAAAGCAAGGAGGTGAGAGAATAAATACTCACCGCCCTGTCCATGCAAGGAGGTAGGCCAGAGGCCAGCCTCCCAGAATCAAAGTGCTGCGGCAAAACAGAGCCAGTGGGAACACGCTGCACAAGCACTGCTGTCGGGACGATATTCCGTACGGCAGCTTAAAACCCGCCACTTACAGATCCCCCCAAACTAGTAACCTGAAGCAGAGCTCATGGGCCCATTAACAAACATCTAAAGAAGCTCAGCTCCTAAGACAGTAAACATGGGACTCTGTTCCAAAGCAACAGCCCCTGGATCTCATGCTGAACGTACAAACGTCTGCATACGGTCTATGCCCGTGGAGGCGTTTAAGGAGTTGTCGTGACCAACCTGAGCAGAGGCAACTGTAACGCACAGAGTAGCCCAACTCCCACCTGGGCCCATCCAATCCCACCCAAGTGCCTGCCTCTCCTTCCCTGCATCTTCTCTGTCCACTTCAGAGCAGAACCCCCAGAGTTCACTTTTCCAAAACTGTCTCTAACTGACTAGGATCCAAAGGTACAGCGTGGTCCCCTCCCATGGACCTCCTCACAGGCGGAGGAGCGCAGGGTCCTTCATCGGGTCTTGCAAAGTCACAGCGTGAGGGTGAGGTAGGGGGAAGCGGAGGGGGGCTTTCCGAGGAGGGCGCCTCCGAGTCGACAACAGGAGCCCACACCGCAAAATGGTCCTTTTCTTCCTCGGGAGGCGGCGAGGGAGAACTCCTCCGGCCCGATCTTGGAAAAAAGCAGCAACTGGAAGAGTGGGAAAGGGAAAAGAAAGGCCAGATAAGCAGAATGAGTGGATAAACAAGTGAAGATAAGCAAAAGGACGGATTACTAGCCATTAAGTAAAAAGGAATAAGTACTGATACACACTACAAAATGGATAAACCTTGAAAATATGCTAAATAAAAGGATGTCCGGAATAGATAAATCCAGAGACACACAAAGTAGATGAGTAGTTGGCAGGAACCAGGGGTTGGGGGAAATGGGGAGTCACGCTAATGGGTACGAGGTTTCTGTTGGGGTGATGAAAATGTTCTAAAATTAACTATGGTCAGTGACAGTTGCACCACTTTGTTGAATGAACAAAAACTACTGAACTGCACAAGTATACGAAAATGGTGGGCTTTATGGGAATGTGAACTAGTTCTCAGTAAAGTTATTTTAAGGGCGGGGGAGATAAAGGACACAAGAAAGCCTCTCTTCTTTCCCCCAGGTTTCTATGAGAGCCTGCTACCCAGGGATGGGTCACACCTAAGAGGGAAGAAGGCCTCCTCTGAAAGGCTACCAATGCTGTGACTTCACTTTCTCTATCGAATGGACACCTCCCTGGCCCAGGTTACAGTCACCCTCGCTCCAGTGTCTTGGAGAAGAGAGCTGTAGTTACCTCTTGGGCTGGTCCCCTGTAGCCAGGTGAGAGGAGGCCTGCCTCTCCTCCTGGGCCCAGCCACAGTTCGACATGGCGTAGCGAAGGATGGCCTCAGACACGGTCGTGCGGCTTTGGCCCTGGACACACGCTTCTATCTCAGGCACTGTCAGCTGGCTTTGCAGGAAGAGGTGTAACTGGCTGTCTGACAGGAGGACAACACTCTGCAGGACCCTGGGCCAAACACAGGTAGGACAACACACAGGTAAGGCGTCACCCTGAAGCTTTGTTCTCCCCAACCCCATCTTCTTCTTTTTAATGTTTAATTATTGATTTCGGAGAGGAAGGGAAAGGGAGAGAGCAACACAGTGATGACAGAGAATCATGGATCGGCTGCCTCCTGCATGCCCCACCCTGGGGATCAAGCCTGTAACTTGGGCATGCGCCCTGACTGGGAATTGAGCCATGACATCCTGGTTTATAAGTCGACGCTCAACCACTGAGTCACGGCCAGCCAGGCCCCAACCCCTCCCTTCTGTAGGGCTCTGGCTTGAGTGAGCATGAAGGGTACAAAAAAGGTTCTACCCCAAATGTCCTGCCTGTCACCTTCCCCCCTCCCTGCCCTACTGCAGAAGGCAGGGGCTAGCTGCCATGTTCACTCACTTTTCGAGGAAGTGCTGCAGACCTTGTCGTCGCTTCTCAATGAACTCATCTGAGCTGCCAAAGAAGGTTGACTTCCCAGGAAGTTCAGGTACAGGCCTATGAAATCACATAATGAAACACATGAGATAAGGGTAACATGCAAGACAATCATGTCAGCCCTGATCAAGGGACGCATCCATACAGGAAGGTGGAAGGGTGGGAAGCTAACAATGACTCACTGCATACCATGTTCAAGCACTACGCTACGTGTTTTACAAGCCTTATCTCACTGATCCTTCCAAACTCCATGAGAAAGATATTAGTGTTCCCATTTTACTAGCAAGGAAAAGAATCAGAGCAGCTGAGAAAATTTTCCAGTGCCACACAGAGCTGATATTTGAACCAAATCTCTAGCTTCAAAACTCCATGCTACTGCCCAGCCTGTGCTGCTCAGTGGTTGAACATCGACCCATGAACTAAGAGATCACCTGTTCAGTTGCAGGTCATAGCACATACCTTGGTTGCAGGCTCAATCCCTAGCTCGGATCCCCAACCCCGGTCAGATGCGTGCAAGGAGACAACCAACCCATGTGTCTCTATCACATTGATGTCTCTCTCTCTCTCTGTCTCTCCACTTACCTTCCACTCTCTCTAAAAAAAATCAATGGGAAAATATCCTCGGGTGAGGATTAACAACAACAACAAACAGTAGGTGCCCAACTTTTCAGGGGAATTTCCAAATGGCTTATGAAGGCCTGACCCATGACAATGACCTCATCAGTCCCACAAGGTCATTAACTGGCTAGGTCATCAACAGGCCGTCTGTCACCAGAGCATTCAGTGACCATTCTGTGGTGGAATCACTATTTTAAATTGTCTTCAGTTTTTAGATTTATTTGGGAGGTGTAGGTGAGGAGCGAACAGTATTTTCTTAAGGTTCTCAGTCTGTGTGTCTCTGGGAAAAGGTCTTTGATGCCCGCATGTGCGCATGCATACATACACACACACACACACACACACACACATACACACACACACCACATTTTTTACAAGTCAAATGAACAGCATCACCACCTGTTAAGTAAGTCCAGGTGATAACCAATAATAGGCACATTTAAAATGCTAGCAGAACGTTTGTTTATCCCTAAACTAATATATACCAAAAAAGAAAAATATTTTTTACATTTCTATGGCACTCTTAGGTCAAAAAAACTAGAAATAAAAACTCTGTTCATTACTTTTTTTTTTTCACTAATTTGAAAACATAATTTAAAAACAGATTTCTCAGTGTCCTTAGTGCCTGGCATGTTGCCATGTTTTCCTCATTATAAACTCTAATCCCCAAGTAAGTACCTAAAAAGCCAGTCTCAGACCCAAGAGGGAAACGAGAGCAGACTCACACTAAACCGGCGTTTCTCTGCAGCTGCTTTCTCAGCCACACGAACTCACGGTAGCGGCGACGCACACAGGAGGTCTTGGCAGTGAAGGCTTTGCTGTTGGTCTACAGGACAAAGCACAGAAAAGGATTTAGTGGGGAATGATCAGTATCACAGGAACTCCCTGAGGATGGAAGCCACGAGGCCACAGTCCTGATCAGGGGCTCCAACTAGAGCAGGATGCCACCAGGCAGCCTGCAGCCAACGCTCAGGCCCACCTCACGCTCTCGTTCCTCTCCTCCCTCCTGTTCTTCTGTCTCGGGCCTGTCAAAACATCCACACACAAGGTTCTGTCTCAGCACTCTCCCTCAGCCCTGGCAGATGTTGGTCCTGATACAGAGGTGTGATGCACTTACGTGGAGGAAGATCTTATAATCCACGTAAGAATTCCAGGAGCCCTCATTCTGCACGCGGGGGTCCTGAACACGCACCGTGATCACCTCCTGGGGACAAGAAATGCTCCTTCAGCTTCGGCAGCTTTGACAGCGCAGGCAGCCAGATGTTTTCCCAAACAGACAGCAGCAACTTTCATTCATTTGTTCATTTATTCATTCAACAAATATTTATTGACCCATTCATTGTCAGACACTTTTCTAAGACACTGAGGGTAGAACATGAACAAGAGACAAAAAGTCTTGCCCTCATGTAGCTTACATTCTAGTACAGTGTAAGAAATGGAAAAAATTAGTCAAAATGGAACCTCATTTCCCTGAAATGCCTTCACTACTCATTGCCCTCTCCTGGCTGTCAGAAAGATACCAGGAAGCAATGATTTGCACCTTTTCCCAAATCCCCTCAACCTTTTACCCACCTGTTCTGTGGAGACCACATGCTTACCTCCTGCTCTTGGTTCTCCAACATCCTACATCAAAAGCCCATTGGAAGAAAACATCTGATGAGATACAAATGACAAGGGAACGATCATGGTTAGTGTGCTTCTATTCCTATCACTCTTTACCAGGGAAAAACCCTGAAAAACTTCAATCGCCCCTCCTGGGGAAAACCAGGCACCTTTTTTCATTCGTACGTATGACTTAAGAGGAAGCAAAAAAAAATTCCACCACATTAGCTTTCATACACCTACAGGTCTTGGGGGACTTGCCTCCCTTTTAAAACCATGGCCAAGCCGAGGCCGGTTTGGCTCAGTGGTAGAGCGTCGGTCTGTGGACTGAAAGGTCCCGAGTTCGATTCCGGTCAAGGGCATGTACCTTGGTTGCGAGCACATCCCCGGTAGAGGGTGTGCAAGAGGCAGCTGGTCGATGTTTCTCTCTCATCGACGTTTCTAGCTCACTCTCTCTCTCCCTTCCTCTCTGTAAAAAAATCAATAAAATATATTTTTAAAAATAAATTAAAAAATAAAAAATTAAAAAAAATAAAACCATGGCCAAAACCCTTAAGTAGGTCACCTCTAGCCAAAGCATGTTTGGGTCTGTGCAGTGTTCACCTCAAGCAACAAAATTCCACTGCAAACCCTTTCTGCCCGCAGTCTGCAGGCAAAGCAGTGTCTTGTGGGGGCACACAGCACAGCTGTGCGAGTGAGCCCAACATCGCCCCCTCCTGACTGTCCAGAGATAGCCAAACCCCACAAAGCAGCAGGGCTTCTAAGTCTTTGTCTTGCCAACTCCAGTCACCTCCCCAGAGATAATCTGAGCTAGCGAGCAGCCGAGCACCAGAATGGGTTGCCCAGTGTTGATTTTCCCTTCTCTAATCTGTTCTCCAGAACCCAAGCCAATGGTTCTGATTATTTCCTTGCTGGACATGTGCCTCTGCCAAACGCCCCACAGCTGCACTGGTCGCCTCAGGATGTTTTCACTCCTTTGTAAAGATTCATTAAAGCCTAAGCTGCCGATTTCCCCCAGGGTGGCCGTTTGCATGTGCGGCAACAGGGCCCGCCCCGTCAAGGGGACCATGAAAGTTGCGGCCCAGGGTTACTCAAGCCCAGAGGGGCCCATGATGTCACCTTCTGTTAAAATACAGCACTAATCTTATTACTCCTAGAACCACTCCAACAGCCTCCACCCGGGCTGCCACCTGCACCCCCTTCTCCTCTCCTAAGAGCGGAACAATAAGGTTTAATTTCCCTTTTCAATTTACCTTGAAATGAAAACTGACTTCAGCCAATACGTACTGCCAACAAATGATCCCGCTGGCTCCTGGGAGAACAAAACTATCTCTAAGCTCTCCCTCTCTCCCCGCCCCCCCCCCCCCCCGCCCACCCGCACCCACTCATTTTCACATTCCCACAATTAATTTTAAACACATTCCCTTATTAGTTCTGCCTTACCATTACAAGAGTGTGTAATGAGTTTCCTCCTATCTTATGTTTTGCTAACACAAGGCAAATGTTTCAGGAGACGGGAAACTCATTTACAGCACAAAATTTGCGGAGCAAACAGCTTTTCCAATTATTTCCAGGACACCAGGTCTCTCCGCACACAGACATTGCATGGCATTTGACAAAATTGGGCTACACCGCCGAGCCAACCGAAGGTTTTATAATGGCAATATCATCGTAAACAATATTCTTGCTGACGATCTGATTTTCCATCTGATGCAGGCACCAGTGCCAAGGGGTCCTGAGCGGAAAGGTAGGTGATATCAAGGCCATAACAACAGACGTACAAAATCTCTATGTAAGTAGTCAAATGCCTGTGACCAAAAAGGCCAACTCACTGTGACCAATTCATCTCCTCAGATGTAAAAAATAGTTCTCTTTCCTTTTCGGGCATCGGGTAAACTGCCAGCACAGGGGCAGAGGTAAAAGAGGCTGAACTGTCTTTGCACAAAAGTCACAACAGGAAAGGCAATGCCAAGGAAGCCATAGCCACCCACAAGCTCGGTGGAGCTCAGGCATCTCCTGCGCCTTGAAAGGTTGGCCAAAGTAAGGACTACAATTGAGCAACTAAACGGTCACCACTCTTGGACTCAAGAAGAGTTTGCACCACCTCCATGTGCAAGTTCCTCTTGGGACTAATACCGCTTAGAAACAAATAGCTGTAAACTGGCTTTAAAAATAAAAAATAAAAAAATCCTAGGACCCCAAAGATGCTGTGTACTTGAATCTAAACTGTGAAGGAAATAATATCAAGGAAAAAAGTTAAGGTCACTAAGAAAGTTTCCATTTTAACTTTCCTTAAAAACACACTGGAACACCCTGGCTGTGGTGGCTCAGTGGATTGAGCGTCATCCCATGAACCAAAAGGTCCCGGGTTCGATTTCAGGGCACATGGCTGGGTTGCAGCCTCGATCATGAGGCAATGAGTCTCTCTCATCAATGATATTTCTATTTCTCTCCCCCTTCTCCCTTCCTCTTTGAAGTCAATAAAAATATATATTTTTTTAAAAACACACACTGGAATAAAAACAAACGCCTAGACTTCAAGGAATAACTTCTAGCAACTACTATTCTCCATTAGCTTCCTCCCCAGAATGCCACTCCTTAGAAGGAGAGGACGCTCAGTTCCTGGGAGGGGAAAAGGGAAGTGAACTGCAGCTCTATGATCTGGGAGACGGATCCCTGTCACCCACATAAGAATAGAGTCCGTGATTAAGTCAGCTACTTGTGCAACTCCGTGCTAACTCCATTTCTGGGGTCCATTCAATCGCATCTGAAGTTTCCTTTACTTTCTCCACCTGTACCAGGACCAAGACCTCTCCCGAGAGAACCGAGCTATTTGCTGTTTGCAAAGCAGATTCTCTGTAAAGCTTTCCAATGTCATAACAATGCAAGGCTTCAATGCCACCATTTTCACACCGGTTTAAACTACTACAAGAGAAAGGTTAAAAAAATTTTTTTAAAAATTAAAAAAAACCAATCAGATGGTAAAAGTATACTGAGCCACGGAGACCTCCATCCATTCTAACTCATTCCAGAGCCAGTGGGCAACTCAAAAAGCTCTTCTTCCTGAACACCCACAGGTGGCAGAAGCCTCCTCGGTCAGACCAACCTCTGACCAACCTCGGTGTGTTCTCAACCAACCAGCTGTGCTCCATTCTTGGGTCCCTCTGTAATGTGCCAATCCTTCCACTTAGGAGGTAAGTCACAGAGAAGACCACAATCTAAAATCCTAGCCAACACCCATCGTCCTAACCGTTTGGGTAAATGTCCCCAAACTTGTTTATTCCGGCCACATCCTCCCCTCCAGCCCCCCCTGCATTCTTAACCAGCCAGGAGCAAAGGGCCACGTCGTCTCTCTCCTTTGCCTATTAAGCTTGGAGAGTGGGAAGGGGAGATGCTTTATACTTCTTTAAAAATAAATACAAGGCCCTGGCGGGCTAGCTCAGGTGGTTACCTGATATGCCAAGGTTTTGAGTTCCATCCCAGGGTTAGGGCACATACAAGATACAAGCAGTGAACGTATAAAGAAGTTGAACAAAGTGATGTTTCTTTCTCTCTCTCTCTCTCTCTCTCAAATCAATAATAATAATAATAATAATAATAATAATAATAATAATAATGGTAAATGGGAAAGCTGGGTTTCCTTCCCTGGATCCCGAGCAAGGACCAGCCTTTATTCCAGCAGGTGAGACAGCCCCTAGGAAGCCAAGCCAAGTCCCCATCCCACGCGCCATGAAAAGACCTTAACCCCGCGCCCGCACCTGAGTAGGACCTGCCTCCCCGGCCCGGCCCGCCCGGCCCCTCACCTGACAGCAGCACCCGCTCGCCCCGGCGCCCGCGCCCCCATGGAGCCGGCGCCGCTTCTCCTTCCGGGTGACGCCGGCCCCAGTGCACGCCGGGAGCGGCGCCGGCACGCCCCGCCCCGCAGGCCCGGGCTCTCAGCGGGACCCGCCGCCCCGGAGGCGCGCTCGGCTCCGCCCGGGCCTGGCGGCAGGCGGGGACCCGAACCGTCCACCCGGAGCTGCCGGGACGCCGGGGAGGGCGACCGCGGGGCTCTGCGGCGCCATGCGGGCCGGGCCGCCCCTCGCAGTCGGGCCGGCCAATCAGCGGCCAGGGGCTTCCTTAAAGGCTTAAGGGGCCGCCCGGGCGCGGGAGCTGGCGGGAGCGCGGCCGGAGCTCGGGAGGCGGCGCCCGGCTTTCCGGGGCCTCGCCCGTCCCCGCGGGCCCAGCTGTGGCCTCAGGACCCGGACTCCGGTTCCTCAAACCGCAGGTTGTAACCCGGCCACACACACACACACACACACACACACACCACACACTCACACACACACACCACACCACACAGACACACACACACTCACACACACACACACCACACACTCACACACCCCACAGACACACACACATACACACACCCCACAGACACACACACACACACACCACACACACACCACAAACACACACACACACCCCACAGACACACACACACACTCACACTCATACACACACCACACACACACACACACACACACCACACACTCACACACACACTCTCACCACACACTCCACAAACACACACACACACACACACCACACACACACACACACCCCACAAACACACACACACACCACACACACCACATACACACACACCACACACACACACACCACACACACACACACACACACACCACACACACCACACACACACCCCACAAACACACACACACACACCCCACACACACACACCACACACACCACAAACACACACACACCCCACAAACACACACACACACACCACACACACACACACCACACACACACACACACACACACCACACACACCACACACACACCCCACAAACACACACACACACACACCACACACACACCACAAACACACACACACACCCCACAGACACACACACACACTCACACTCATACACACACCACACACACACACCACACACTCACACACACACTCTCACCACACACTCCACAAACACACACACACACACACACC